GCGGCGGGGGGGGGGGGCCGGGTCCCGGTACAACTCTGGCCGAGCCGAGCGCGCTGATGGGGTGGGAGGAGGCGGCGGCGGCGGCCCGCACTGCTCAGCAGAGGGCAGCGCGCCAGCCTGGATAAGTCGCTCCCCTTTCTTGCAAAGACCGGGGGTCGGGGCAGGTGGGGAGGACTTGGGTTCGTGCCTGGGTTTTCCCCGCTGTTCTCCGAGGGGGGCACGTTAGAGGGGTGGTCGCTGACCCTGTTATCAGTTAGCAAAATAATTGAAATAGCAGTACAGTGATGAGGGAGAGCAAAAGCCTGGTGTGAAGGGTGAAACCATTGGCAGCGCATGTTGAAGCTGCTGCAGAAGTGAGGAGTCCTCGCAGAAGAGGCCCAGGGTGCTGGTACAATTGCTGCTTGCTATTAAAATCCCCAGAGTGCGAACGAGAAAAGGTGTAGGTGTTTGTACTGGCATAAGGAACCCGAACATGCAGAATTTGAGCCTTGGAGCTAGAACGCAGAACAGGTTGTTGTTCCTGATCCACTTGGTTAACAGGATCCCTACAACCACCAAGTTACCAGTAACTTCACTGAACCTGCTATGAGGTATTGCATATTGGCATGCTCAGAATATTTTCTGATTAATTTTAAGGGGCTGGATTGCAAACTGACCCACTTGAAGTAAGGCTGGACCCTTGGGTTAGCTGCACCCTTGCGCATCCACCTGTAATAGTCTCTCAGTGCTGCATGCTGAATTGTAGAAATAAGGGACATCCTAGTAGATGGTGAAAGCAACTGATCTTTGGGACAGTTGGAAAACCAGAGAAGCCTAACTTCTATGTTGCCCATTTGTTACTGCCAAGTAGCATTGTGACATCAGCAGTTACTTAGCTAGTTGAAAAAAGTGCAAAACAAACTGCAGGCAGTCGAAGTTTACCAAGTGTTGTGGGGGAAAGGGAAGCTCAGAACTGGAAGAACAAATGTTGTTTGAGATCAGGGTTTAATTAGGTTCTTCTACGTTATACCTGGCTCAGGCACTCTTGAACTGTGTCCACTTGAATGCAGCAAGCAGATTCTTGCACCTGCAACATGAAACAGCGAATTGTAACTGGCTGAATTGCTCTGAGCTCAGCTCCTGCCACAGTTGCTCCTCAGCGCTCGTCTACACACAGCATGCATGAGGCCCAAACCAGTGCCACAGTTGAAGGTTACTGAAAAACCTGTTTTCTTTCCCTTCCTCTCAAAAGCTCCTGACACTTCTGAGGTTTACCCTCCAAAAGCTGCCATGCAGACATGTGCTATAGTGAATGAAGTTGGCTTTAGGTTTGGGTGCAGCATAGTATCTCGTATATGGCATCCTTAATGAACTGATGCTTCACTTTGTGGGAATCTGTCTTCTCTTGGGACAGACGAATGCCACAGTATCAGTGGCATCTTTCTCAAACCTTGCTTCTGTTTCTGCCTCTGGATTCTGTCTCTAGAGTGTGTCAGAGGTATCTGGAACGTCATCTTGCTGCTGCATAACATCTAATATGAGAGGAGGTCTGTTTGAAAACTAGGGTATTATTTTTGGAATTCACAGGTTGATACAATGTAACACATGGAGAGAGGACTAACCAGCATGGCTGTGCTCCTGGAGACAGTTGCAGATACAAGATGTGGTCACCGACAGTTGTTGACTAGATAGTGTTTGTGTATTTGTCTCATTTGGCAACAGAGCAGAGTGTCAGTAATAGAAATACTAGTAAATCTGTTGTGCTATACTATATCTGGCTAAAGAGCTTGGTAACAGTCAAATTTTAAATCCTCATTTCAAAACAAGTACTTAGGGTGTGGAGTTAGCAGCTAGTCTTAAATTATTCCTACTATTGTCACTCTTATTTTATAATTGAATTATAGTTGTCTGTAATACAAAGTCTAAATCCTAGGTCTCATTAAATGACTTGTTTCAGTAGCCTATTACATTTAGGTTATTCCAAACCATTTATATATGTGTGTATGTTCTTTTCCTCCTTTCTCCCCCCTACCTTCAGCGCTTGACCAAACACACTAAGTTTGTACGAGACATGATCAGGGAAGTCTGTGGCTTTGCTCCCTATGAGAGGCGTGCTATGGAATTGCTGAAAGTGTCCAAAGACAAACGTGCTCTGAAGTTCATAAAGAAAAGGGTAAGTGACTATAACACATTACTCCAGGGTATGAAAGAACCTTTGTTGATTCCTCTTGCCCCATTACTCCAGGCAGAGGATGTCACACTGCAAGAGATGTGGTCTTGCCCTTGCTCATCACTTTAAGCAGTCACTAGCCTAGCTTGGGGGAAGAGAGAGGCAGCTATGGTATATAGCAGCTGCTGTAGTTTTGGAAGTGATGGTCTAAAATCTGTTCCTCCATATTGCAAAGCTAGTGCAGGGAAGAGGAAAGTGGATCTGGTGTGGCTTGATCCAGTTATTCAGGGCATTTGGAACAGTGTGAAACCTAAAACTATCCTGAAAAGCTGAGTAAGAGACTTCTGCCTCTTCCTAAAGGTCCTACATTCAGGGGCAGTGGAGATTTGATTGAAGGGAAGAGTACCTAGGCTGGGCTTATTATCAAACTGAGATATAGTCCTTATTCAAGCCTAAGTGTGTTGTGTACACTGCAGCCCAGGCTTTCTGTTGCTGACAGAATAAGTCAAGGAAAAGGTGTGGACCTACTTGTGTTTCCTCTGTCATGGGATAATTGCTTACTGTATTGCTTTCTTCTTTATGTAGGTTGGCACTCACATTCGGGCCAAGCGAAAGAGGGAAGAGCTTAGCAATGTCCTGGCAGCCATGAGGAAGGCCGCTGCCAAGAAGGATTGAGCTGTACAAATTTGTGTAATTCAGTAAAGTTTGTTCAAAAAACTCCAGCAGCATGGTGGTTTACTAGCAACTCCCAACTAGAGAAAGCATTTTCTTTAGTTACTGGGGATATTTTTCAAGCTGTACAAGATATTGAAAGACCTTCCAGAGTCACAAGGCATACTTTTGGTGCTTTGATAGAACATGGAATTGAGGTGTGGGGTACTAAAAACATTGCATTTGTGAACAGGGACACAGCTCATTTTGCTGAACCTAAACTTAAAATGAAAGGAAAGCTAATTTCTTCTAAGATGTCATGCCCTTCCCATCAAAGAGACTTTACTATCCATGGTGTGGGCTAAATTCAGTTTCCCCTTGAATAGTAAAGTTCATGGGCAAAAGGCAAACTTGTCTCACCCCAGGAGCAGTTTCTTAGTTGACAGTGTAGTTAACTTCCCCCTCATTAGATCACCTGTTGAGTGTCCCTTTCCCTGCTTTGTTAAAAACTCCTCTATGCTTGTTCACAAAAGCAGCCATCTCTTCAAATTTGAGTTTGAACAGTGGCTACTGCAATGTCTTAAATTGGGTGAGTAGGGACAGGTAAGCAGTTGAGCAAAAAAGCTTTTGTGAGGGGGGGTGGGGAAGAGAGGAGTAGCCTCTATTCTTGGGGTGAGACCTACTGAATCCTAACTCAGCCAAATGCCTTTAAAAGCAGAAGTACCTTGTGAGCCTTGCTAGAGTATGGATTAATACAACTGCTGAGCAATGTACATAATGATTAATAGAGGCTTGTTAACAGCATGAGCAGTAGACCTCAGTAAGCAGAAAGCAGACTGTACATGACCTGAGCAGACATGTTGGAAAAGTTAGAACTATTAGTTTTTGGGCACCTCTGAAGGCCAATGGTGAGTAATGGGTACAAAACACCAAAACAAATTAGAGTGACTTGATAACCACCTTCCCCCATCTCAGAAATGTCACATCTGCTGAGAACTGGACGTAAATGTCACAAAGTTTAGTGACTGGTGAGACCTAAGAGACCCCTGATCTTCAGAGGCATAATTGGATCTGATGTGTGATCTATCTACATGATCACACTTTCTGCCCTGCCAGGTGTGTATGGCAGGAGGTGCGATTATGGGATCCAGCATCAGATTGAATTGCATCTTATTGCAGGTGCTGGAAGAACCTGGGATGCATGGGTAAGTAGTAAGCCCTTACAGCTGGGGGCTTGCAGCCTCATATACAGCTAACAGGCTTCTATCTGAGGGTATGCCCGTTGTCCCCATGGGTGGGGGACTACAGCTTTTATGGGCTCCCAGCTGAAAGGATGCACCCTGTGGCTGGAAGCCTGCCTCAACTGTGGTGTCCCAGTCAGTGGTGAGATCCCAGGCTCTGGGGTGCACATGCTCCCCTGGCTGGAAGCCCCAATCAGCTGATGGTGCCCTTGGCCACAAGTTCAATTAATGTGACTCATTCCTAGCACACCAAAGTTATTATGTTTTATGGAATAACTTCCATATTTCCTTTAATCCATTCATTAATTGATTGGATGCGTGACAACATGAGATGTTGATTAACTGGTGTAAGATGAAGATGTGCCCTAAGATGCAAATGGTATGACATGCAGTATTGATCAATGTGTAGAGGGTCTTGGGAACCCCAAACACTTTGCACTGAGCTAGGGCTTATGTTTCACATTGGTCCCATGTTTGTGAATAAGCTAACTAGCACCATGCCTGAATGGGCTGTGGATGTTAATGCCTATGCCTGGTTGTAGGCAAAAAACCTGGAAGAGTTGGTTTTGTTTGTTGTTGGTTGTTTGTTTTTTTTTTACTGAGAACTGAAGTCTTGGGTCTCTTCATTACAAGTAAGGTCTTCATGGTGGTAGCATAGCATCACAGACGGCATGCCTTGATGGGGTACTGTGATGTGTTCCACATCACAGGTACGCCTCTATGATGTGTACTATGTACCTTGACAGTTCACCAGCCATCCAGACTGCATCTGATGTGGCTGGTATTATTTCACCCCTGATGGAATCTGTTGCACCTGAAAGCTATTTGTCTACTGGTCCTGAATTAAAAAATGAGTTCATGATAGAGCAGGAACAGCATAGTTGGTTCTCTGGGGAAAAACTCCTAAGGAAAAAATAACATCAACCCACTCACCTCAAGCACATATTTAAAACATAAATTGTAAACTGGCTAGCAACACATCTCACATGTAAAACATAACATAAGCTGTAAACTGGCTAGGTGTAGCCACTATTTGGAGAAGGACTTCTTCAGTGCAGCTCAGGAATTGGGCATGAGCTAGCTTCTGCAAAGAGAGGAGGGACTTCCTATATACCTTTAGTGGGGTACTGTAGGCTTCCTGTGAGCACACTACAGTGGCTGCACAACCCCCCACCTGCAGTTTCCCTCTGCTATGGAGGCATGGTTCCAGGATCATCTGAACAAGCTTTCTGCCATTGCAATGTCCAAGGCCTTACTAACCCAAGGCACAGTGCAGGATTTTTGTTTTTGTTAAAGCCCCTACAGAGAGTGATTTGACTGGTTGAGGAGCAGCATGGTTGGAATAGATGTTCTTGTGGATCCATTTGGAGAAATAATTGCCTTCGAATACAGCTAGGGAAACCTTTCATTCCTATGCTTTTACTGTAAGGTAAACAAATGCTTTTAGGCAGTTTCTGTGAAGGAGCTGGTGCACAATGAATTCACTTTGTAACTTGTGGGCAAAGGCTCCCAGCTCACTAGAAAGCAGGACTGCTATAATTAGAGTATTCATATAGGTGCCAAATCTGGAAAGCGGGCACAAATTCCTGTAACATTTAAAGAACTATTTAATATTAAGGATATAAAAAGGGAACTACTGAATTAGTGCAACTAAAAGACCGCTGATGCCTTCTAAGAATACAGGAAAAGTTGTGACTAAACAAAAGGAGAGCAGGTTGAAGATTCTATTGGGAATAAAAATAGTGAGTGTGAAGAGCCTCCTTCATGCAAGTCTTTCCCTTCTGTTGTGTTCTTTTCTGTTTTCTGCTTCCACAGAAGACCTAACTGCATGCCCAATGCAAATGTCCCTTCTACCAAATTAAGCAGAGCTGAAGGAAACTGGATCAGCTCCACAGTGTCACAGTGAAGAAGTGAGCTAGGTTCTGGATCAGCAAGTGTCAGAGCTGACCCGCCAGCCCACAGATTCTGCTTATGGCTGCCTAGACACATTCTTGTCCCTCCTTCCTTTCCTTTCCTTCTCTCCAGTTGTATCGGAGGGAACAACAGCTGCTGTGTGGCTGGGGCAAGAGCAACATGTGCTTAATGCCCCAAGCTCGAATGGAGCCAGAGGAAAAGGAATGACAGGAGGGGGCAGAGGCAGCAAGGGGCAGGTTTGGGGGAGGGGAGAAGGTGCAGGGAAGGCAGGCAATGGTGGGCAAGTGGCAGAGGGGTAGGCAGGCACCTGGGGGACAGGCAGTGGGGGGTCAAGGGGCAGAAGTCATGCCACTTAAATCCATCACTGCCTGTCCCCCTGCCACAGGGGTGGGGGGATGAATTTAAGATGACCCTCCAATAATGAGATTCTATACATGGACAATTTATAAATTTGTTATAGTTTTCCATATATAAGATCTCATTATTGGAGGGTTGTTTTAAATTCAGAGCTGCCTTAGATTCAGGTAAATATGGTAGATTAAGAGGACCACACCTTGACAGAAATATTCCACTCCCTCCCTCAACTCGGTTTCAGAAGCAAGCTCCCTGGTAATCAACACACACCAAATGGAATTTTGCAAATGCAAACCTGCCAATAAAAGGCACACCACTACAACTATACCACTACAACAATGACCCTGCCCCACAATAAAACCATCAGACCCCATTGCATCCATCACACAATGTGATCATCATCAAATGTACCATGCAGTTCTGGAAACTGTGGGTGAAACCACTGTACTTCAGAATGAGCTCTCACAAATGATGTGGGTACAGAGGGTGTGGATGGATGTGCATTTGTAGTGGTAAAAGAACATAGTGCTAGAAATAGTGTACACGCATTCACAGCTTCCTGGCTAAAGTGCTCCAAAGTCACTGCAAAAGCATGCTCTCTAGGCAGGGGGTTCTCCTATGCTTCCCATCACCACCCCGTCCCGGGAAACCTGATTACTGACAGCCTGTCCTCTCCCCTGCTGGAGAAGGGGGATCACCAGGCAAGCTGTCAAGTGATTGTTGGGAAAACCTGCTGCTGCCCCATGGTTCAGAGCAGCAGCAGGCTTTCTGACACCTAGAGAGCCCTTACTGCTGCATGGCTCCCCAAGGCAGCAGTAGGTTCTTCTCACTGCCCATTACAGTGGCAGCAGGCATAGGCAGGACTAGGAATTTGAGAAAGGGGGTACAGGAGATGCCACTGGTGCTGTAGGTGAGGTTGCAGCTCCCTTCCCCCACCCCTGCAGGTGGACTATGCCATGGCAGCTGCTCCTAGGGATTTAAGTCACAAAAGCAGGTAAGACTCTTCCCCCCCACTGTCAGTAGCCCCTTCTCCAGTGCAGTCACCTCTCTGCCTCCCATCCCCCCCTCACCCACTCCACCAGGGGTTGCCTCTGAGCGCCCACTGCCGCTGTCCTTAGGTGACCCAGAGTGGGGGAGCCCCAGGGCTGCTCTCACCTTGCTCCACCTGGGGGCTTCAATAAGAGGCAGCATGGGGTGCCAGGTTGGCCAGGGATAGTGGCAGCAGAGGTGGGCAGATCCCCTGCTCCTATACTTGCTCCTAGACCACAGCAGACACCTGGGGAGCAGGCAGGAAGCTAGAGCACCTGGAAGTCCACTGCTGCTGCTGCCCCAGCTGACTAAGGAACAGGAGGCTCATGTCCCACACCAGCCAGAGGCTGCAGGAAGGCTTCTCCCAAACTGGCAGAGGAAACATGGTAGAGGGAGTACAGCTGCTCCCTGTAGCCCTTGGCTGGAGCAGAGCAGCAGTGGTCCTGGGGCTTTCCCTGCTTCCAGGTCAGCTGGGGACAGCAACAGTAGAAGGGTCCCCCCTTCCTCACCTGCTCCCCACTTGGTCTCCCACGTGTCCCACTGCAATCCAGGGCTCTAGCTGTGCCTCAACACCATGGGGGACCCAAGCATCTGGGGCCAGAAGGAAATGGAACTGCTGGCACATGATCTTCAATGTGGAAGAGGGGTTATGACCAGGCTACTGCACCCCTCCTGGATCTTCCCCTTGCAGGAGATGGCCCCACTGTGACAGCAACAGAAACAACCCCTTCCTCCCACCACCCAAAGCCCAGGCAGCACTCAGGGACTCTCAACCCTACTCTCCCTCCCGCCATCTTTGAAGTGGGATGCTGGGGGACGCTTTGATGATACATGCAGAGTGCATCTACATGTGGCCGTATGGCACCTTTGTTACTGTGCCATCATTTAGTACTTCCTTTCGGAAGCACTAAAAGATGGCGTAGTAAAAGCCTGTACTTGCCTTGTCAGCCAAGCAGTTATTTTTGGCTGCTACGTTGCCATAGCAACGCACTATAATGAGGAAGCGTGTTGCTACACCGCTGCAGCTGCGGCATCACCGTTTCTGCCAACAGATGCTATGGGGCTGCCACAGCATCTTGTATAGATGTGCCCACAGTGCTACAAAACATAGCTCTACAGGGAAATTCCTGTTTCAAACAACATTCCTGTAATGTCTCCACTATTTCAGTACTGCTATGTGGCAGCGGTGCTGGGAGCAGGGCTACGCAGGGCGCTAATTCACTGTAGCCCCTCTCCCAGCAACGCTGTTGCCTGCCCCAAGCGCAGCCCAGCCCAACCCCTGCCAGGAAGAGCCCAGTGCCACCCGCGCAGATCCAGGAGCACCCGACCCCCAATGCCCTCCTGGAGTGCGTGCAGCAGCAGGAGCCACCAAGCCCTGGACAAGCCACTCGCAGCTCCAAACTGTGTCCTGCCCGGGCTGGGCAGCATTTACCTGTCCCAACCCCACTCCCTGCTTCTCTGTGGGGGACTCAATCTGCCCCCACCAGGCCCCTTCCCTCCCCCCACAACAGACTTACTTGTCGGGCTGTGCTCCTGGCTGGCTGCATGCGTGCACAGGGGCATTTATTGGTGACATTATTGGCCACATCAGCCAAAAAAACCCAACTGCCAATACTGTCAGTTTTCTTTATATTGGTGCCAAACTGATATGGGACAGATGTATCAGTGCACCTCTACTTTTAACCTTGTATTTGGCTTAGGCTATATCTGCGTCTTTCCCAGAAAACTTGCCTGACGTTTCTCTCAACTATGTAGTTGGTCTAATAAAATATATTACTAAACAAAGCTTGCTTCTCACTTAAATTTCAACAGGATTAATCCCTTCTTCCTCAGTAAATCTAATCTATTTTTTTAGCAATCAACATTTTGGTCAAGTTCATTTTGTATACCTACTTTTCCAATTTCAGAATATTTGCTTTGTGTGTCCTAATCACATTTTCAAACTCTGGCCCAAGTTTGAATGATTGCCATAGGTCTTACCTGAGACTCTGTACTTAGTCTCAAACCATGTTTAACTGTATAGTGATGTACAGTGGCAGGGCCATATTAATGCCTTTTACTCCACCTATAACTCATTAGGACAACAGAAACATGAACATTTCCTAGCGAAATGCAAGCATATGCATAAACCCTTTGCAGTCATTTACATGGCAACTTTTTCTCTTAGGTCTCATTTCAATGTGCAGTGTTTTCCAATTGATTTCCTCAGTGGACACATTCTGGAACAACAGTGACTTCTTTAGATGAATTAAGATGATCTAAATGATGACACACTTCCCTTTGGGAGCAGTTTTTTGGCAAGCCCTAAGCAACCCCACCTCCACCTTTACTCCAGTGTATTTTCTTGCTATATTATAAAGAATTAGTAAATAGAGAATATAGAAAGAGTTCTCTTGAGCAAATCAGAAAAAAACTGTCAGTACTTTCAGAACATTTTACCCATTTGAAGCATGGAAGACATCCTGCTAGCTCAACCTAAACACCCCATTACAAACAGGCTAACAACAGCATTCTCCACTAGGAACAGGAATTATACTACTTGAGGTGGGACTGAGTAGGTTCACTAGTGGTGAATAGCACTGTGCAAATACCTAAGGAATCATTTCAAAGCTCAAGCATAGTGGAAATATTTTACTTAAATCATAATTCACTTTGTATTTATACATGAGAAATACTTCATTCTAACCAAGGTGGTGGTAAATTAACCCGTCATCCATTTGAGTGGCTGCGCAGCAGCAATATTTATGCTCCCTCTTGTTTCTGGACTGGGGTAAAGCAGTCAGGAACAGACCAATTTTCAATACAAATATTTTAGTCAACCTCCAGAAGAATCAGGTTTTGAAAATACTATGTCAAATATTTCTTTATAGTGTTCAACAAAATGAACTTCTAGTCCCTCTGTAATGAAGTCAGCAAGGTCATAGTAGTCCTTCTTGTTCTCTGATGGAAGAATGATGCAGGTAACACCAGCTCTCTTGGCCTAGGGAGGAAAAAAATGTTATCTTGACTGTGGTAGAAAGCGTGTTTAGCAGTCAAATTCTCACTTGCGTTTTGATGCTCATCTAAAAAATTGCATGTCCTCTTGACTGTGGCACAATTTTGGTTTGTAGTGAGAAAAGTTAGGATGTGTGAGGACCCCTGCTACAGTGAGAGGCACAGATGGCATTAAGAGGCTGCTGTTGTCAGTGGCTAGGTAGACTATCAATTTTAACCCACTACTAAATGGAAATCAATATTGCCTTCAGGGAAAAAAACTGGCTAATCTCCTTGTAAAACCATAATACCCACACAATCATCTAGATGTCACTCAATTCAGACACTCTTGCCACTAATTCTTGGTTAAAGCATTACAGAAAGTAAGGCAGAAAGCGGGATAGGGTGGCACCTTAAGAGACTAACTCATTCAGAAAGGCATGAGCTTCTGTAGGCAACAACCTACTACTTTGGATGTTATGAAACTTACACCTTTCTGAACAAATTAGTCTTTAAGGTGCCATGTTATCCTAACTTTTGCCTGACTTCAGACCAACATGGCTTAACTACTACTCTCTCAAACAGAAAGTAACAATTAGTGACACATACTGGAACAGATGATATAGCATAATATAAAACTAGAGATTATAAAAGAGTTCAAAGATGTTGGAAGAGTGGGAAAAAGACTAAATTAGTAATCTACCCAGATACTTTCAGTCTATAAGGAAGATGATGCAAAAAATATTGCAAGTGAACCACTGACAGGTTGTGTGACTGATGTGAAGTTAAAGATCTGGTTTTGCTGAGCACTGGGTCACAGTGGAAAAGGAGACTGTCCTAACAGGATGGCTGTCTTCTCACAGCTAGGGGAGCTAATCTCCTCTGGTGACACAGTGAGGAGAATGATAAGCAGCGATAAAAGATGTGTCAAATATGAAGTTGGAACAAATTCAGTATGTCAGGAACAAGGTGAAGAGTGATGACAAAGAGTGTGAAAAGCTATTCAATTGCTCTATATTCATTTTAAGGGCTGCATAACAAAGAGAAAAAATGAAAATGCAGGAGAAAAAATGATACAACTGGTATAATTAAAATCTGATGTAGGCTTCACAATGGAGTTAACCTGTTCAGGAATAGCAGCGTGGGAAAGAAAGGAGTGTGTGGGATGGCACTTGACATTAGCAGCCCAGTTTAGTTACCCCTTTTTAATAAACAATAACTCATTCAGTTATGTGATAACAGACTTCTTCAAAACGATCACTTCAGATCTAAAACAACCTTGATTCAAGTGACCATGAGTTTAAAACGTAAATTCCTAAATAAGGTTTTGTGTTTCAAAAGAACAAACTTTATAAACAAAAGGAAGCAAATGGTGATATTGACTGGACTGTGGACCACAGACACTTATAGTTTCATAGTTGGTATGGTCGGAAGGGGCCTAAGCAGATCATCAAGTCTGACCCTCTGCCATGGGCAGGAAAGGATGCTGGGGTCAAACAACCCCAGCTAGGTGGTTGTCTAGCCTCCTTTTGAAGACCTCCAGGGTAGGGGTGAGCACCACTTCCCTTGGAAGTTGGTTCCAGCTCCTAGCTGCCCTGACTGTGAAGTACTGCCTCCTGATGTCTAGCCTGAACCTACTCTCAGTCAACTTATGGCCGTTGTTCCTTGTTAGTCCCGGTAGTGCGCAGGGGAACAGGGACTCTCCCAATGCCTGCTGGTCCCCCTTGGCAAATTTATAGGTGGCCACCAGATCCCCTCTCAGCCTCCTTTTGTGGAGGCTGAACAGGTTCAGGTCCCTTAGCCTCTCCTCGTAGGGCCTACCCTGCTGCCCCCTGATCATGTGGGTGGCCCTCCTCTGGACCCTCTCGATGCTGTCCACATCCCTCCTGAAGTGCGGCGCCCAGAACTGGATGCAGTACTCCAACTGCGGCCTGACCAGTGTCACATAGAGGGGGAGGATCACCTCCTTGGACCTACTCGTGATGCATCTATGGATGTATGACAAGGTGGTTAGCTTTCCTTACCGCATCCCCACACTGGCAGGCCATGTTCATCTTGGAATCAATAATGACACCAAGATCCTTTTCTGCCTCTGTGCTGATAAGAAGGGAGTTCCCCAGCCTGTAGGTATGCTGCTGGTTCTTCCTCCCCAGGTGCAGCACCTTGCACTTGTTCGTATTGAAACCCATCCTATTCTCATCTGCCCACCTCCGTAACCTGTCCAGATCTAGTTGTATCCTGTCCCTCTCTTTTAGCATGCTCACTTCTCCCCACATCTTAGTGTCACCTGCAAACTTGAACAAGGTGCTTTTCACCCCTGTGTCCAAGTCACCGATAAAGACGTTGAACAGTGGGGGCCTGAAGACCGAACCCTGGGGAACCCCACTGCCCACGTCCCTCCAGGTTGAAAATGACCCATCCGCCACCACTCTCTGGTTGTGGCCCTCCAGCCAATTTGCGACCCACCTGTCTGTGTAGGCATTGACACCATAGTCACCTAATTTTTTAATGAGAATGGGGTAAGAGACAGTGTCGAAAGTCTTCCTGAAGTCCAGAAGGACTATGTCCACCGCAACACCTGCGTCCAAGGCTTTTGTGACCTGGTTGTAGAAGGCCACCAGGTTGGTCTGACAGGACCTGCCTCTAATGAACCTATGTTGATTGCCCCTAAGCATAATCTCCCCTGCTGGTCCCTTGCACTTGTATGGATTTAAGTCCTTGAATTCTTACCTACAAAAGGAGAAGAAATAGAAACCTAATTGAAGAAAAGGCTTTCAGAGGTGAAGAATTATTGGGATAGAATTGAGAGTTACCAAAAGTCAATCAGTGTTATACTCTATAAAGTGCAGTAAAAACAAGTAACAGTGCTTTTTCAGCTTCGCAGGAAAGAACAAAAAAATAAGTGGGACCGCTGTGTAGCAAGGCTGAGGCTAAGAGTTGGTAGAGATGGCCAAGGAACTTTCCTCTCAGTTTTCAAAAAGGCTGATGATGTTGACTATGGGGTACAGAGGCAAGATGGATGATGAGAATAACGATATAGGTGGGAAAATTACTACAACTGAGCTGGAAGGAAACCCCAAAACATCTTCATACAATTAAGTCAGGTTGTACAGGATAGTTTTCAACTCAAGATTCAGAAATAGCTGGCACATGAAGTCAGAGGTTTGACAACAAGAATTATTAATTTCTGAAGCAGGGAGTAATACTACATGATTGAGAAGATCAAGTGTAGTAGTTATATTTAAGGAATGGGGACATAATTCAGGCAATGACACATCTGACCTCACTGGTCACTGACCAAAGGACTTTAAACAAATTTTAAAGAAAACAAAGACATGGAGGTAAATGAAACATGGGATGAATTGGAATCTAATGAAGTTAGATACCAGGAAAGTCTGGCCTAACTTCTCTCTGAAAAACAATTTCCTAGACAAAGGGAACAAAACAGTTAAGCAAAACATTTGATATGGACCCCTGGCAGATGTTACCACATTCACAGGACAAGCTATCCAGAGGTAAAAAAATTGCCCTGGGAATTTGCTCTGCCAGCACTTGCCAGCAAGGGGAGCCAGAGAGCTGCTGGCAAAGGCTGTTATTTCCTCTCCTACCCCTTCAGTTGGGCTGCTAATGAGAAGTGAGCTCTGCACTTCCCTTGGAGAAGCGAGCTGCTCCCCAAATCCTTGCGCAGAACGAGGGAGATCTGTGTGAAGGGTGGGAGAAGGAGGTGCGGTGGGGGGGAGGAGGGCAGGAGTAGTGGAATTCAAATTCTCCTGAACCACCTTATGAGGTAGGTGCTTCTGCATGTGTTTTTCCTTTCTCTCCATCTTGTCCCTGCCAGCAGCTTTCCAAACAAATTTCTTCCCCCTCTCTCAGATGCCCATTGTGTGTAGGTAAAGCATGTCACCTTGACATGTTAAGTGTGTGTTTACACTTTACTTCTCACAGGTAATGCTGCATACAGAGATAATCCCAGGTACTAACAGGCTCTGGAAGCTGAAACTAAATTCAACAAAGAAATAAGGCACATGCTTTTAACATTGATAGCGATTAACCAGTGGAACAAAACTGTGAAGCAGCAATGGATTTTCCATCTTTTGATATCTTCACATGGTTCTCTGGAAGAGATATTTTAGCTAGACACAATTTATTCACTGATTACAGAGGTAACTGTGAATTTTAAAGAGGACACAATATACGACGATCTTCCCCCAAGGGTACTAAAGGAATTGGCCGATGACATAGCAGAACCACTGGCATGACTGTCTGAGCACTCATGGCACTTAGGACAGGTCCCAGAGGACTGGAAAAGGGCCAACGTGGTCCCTATCTTCAAGAAGGGGAGGAAGGAGGACCCAGGTAATTATAGGCCAGTTAGCCTCACCTCTATTCTCAGCAAGACCCTAGAAAAAATCATAAGGGATCACATTTGCAGAGGGCCAGCGGGTAACCCAATGTTAAGGGGCAACCAGCATGGGTTTATAGTAGGCAGATCCTGCCTTGACTAACTGGGTCTCTTTTTATGACCAGGTCACAAAGTGCTTAGACGCAGGAGTGGAAGTAGATACTATTTACCTGGATTTTAAAAAGGCTTTGACAGTGTCACACCCAATTCCTAGAGCAAACTGAGTAGCTGCGATGTGGATTTTTTCAAAGTAAGGTGGGTAAAAAACTGGCTTATGGGATGCACCCAGAGAGTGGTGGTGGATAGCTCGGTTTCTCTCTGAAGAGATGTGGGCAGTGGTGTCCCCCAAGGCTCTGTCCTTGGACCAGTATTGTTTAATATCTTCATCAGCGATTTGGATGAAGGTGTTGAAAGCACCTTGTCCAAATTCGCAGATGACACTAAACTATGCAGTATAGAAAACACACTGGAGGGCAGGGAGCAAATCCACACAGATCTGGACAGCCTAGGGAAGTGGGCAGAACAGAATAGAATGCAATTTAACAAGGATAAATGCAAGGTGCTGCACCTGGGGAGAAAGAATCTCCAACACACCTATAGGATGGGGGGTACCATTCTGAGTACCACAACGGTGGAAAAAGATCTCCGAGTCCTGGTTGACGCAAAAATGAACATGTCACCAGTGTGACCAGGTAATAAGCAAGGCTAGCCGCACTCTTTCTTGCAACAGCAGGTGCATCATGAGCAGGTCTAGGGAAGTGATAATTCCCCTCTGCAGTACTGGTGAGGCTGCAGATGGAGTACTGCGTCCAGTACTGGGTGCTGCACTTCAAGAGGGATGTGGACAACCTTGAGAGGGTTCAGAGGAGGGCTACTCGTATGGTTGAGGGCCTGCAGGTAAGACCCTATGAAGACAGACTGAGGGACCTGAATCTCTTCAGCCTCCACAAGAGAAGGCTGAGAGGTGATCTTGTGGCTGCCTACAAACTCACCAAGGAGGGTGGCTGAGAGGTGATCTTGTGGCTGCCTACAACCACACCAAGGAGGGGCAGCAGGGAATAGGGAACACTTTGTTTACCAGGGCGCCCCTCAGGGTTACCAGAAATAATGACCACAGACTGAAGGAGAACAGATTTAAGATTGGACATCAGGAAGAAATTCTTTATGGTGAGGGTTGCCAAAATATGGAATGGGCTTCCAAGGGAGGTGGTGCTTTCCCTTACCTTGGAGGCGTTCAAGAGGAGATTAGACAGGCATCTGGCTGGGGTTACTTAACTCCACAGCTCTTTCCTGCCTGGAGCAGGGGGTCAGACCTGATGATCTACCAGGTTCCTTCCAACTCTAGAAATCTATAAAGGAGATCCGATTGGATAATCCAAGGGTCCTTCTGACCTTAATGTCTGTGTCTAATAACTGCCAAATTCCAACAGCATGCTGCCCAATATACCTTAAAATTAGGCTTCATTTCATGGCAAAATACAGGGAAAGCCCTTGGTATTTATTGAGGTAAACTTTTTATGGTCAGCGACACAGAAAATATCTCCATAGTCACAGTGTTGAATCTCTCAGTACCCTTTGACACAGCAGACTGTAGCATACTGCAACCTGCTCCAATGCCCTACAACATACCAGCTAAAGATTTGCCAAGCACTATAGAGTTATTATTACAATAACTTCTAGGGCCCTTACCTTTGCCCTTGCTAACGTATTGGCAGAGTGCACAGACTTGCAGACAATTACAACCAGAAACAGCACTTACCGCTATAGTTTTCTCCTTGATTCCACCAACAGGAAGAATTTTTCCAGTTAATGACACCTCTCCAGTCATGGCCACATTTTGCCTCACTGGACGATTCATGGCCAGTGACAGTAAGGCTGTTATTATTGTACACCCTGCACTTGGTCCATCCTTTGGAGTCGCTCCCTGGAGTGAAAGATATTTTGACAGAAATGTTCAAACTAAATGAGAAGGTGGGTATGAAATATTCATTGCCAAGAACACTGTACACAGATTTGCAGCTAAACTCATTCCAACATAATTGTCATTGCTGGGTGATACAGGAGCTGAAGAGAGGGATGCAAGGTCCAGACTAACATATCTGGCTTTGCTTTTTGATACTGCAACATTTGATTTACTATGTCAATGATTAGTTGAGGTGCCACTGGTGAAGTCCAAGGTAGCCCTATTAAAAAGGCAGAACTATATATGCAGTTGTAACATTACATTTCAATTTTCTACATATGGGTCATGGGATTAATAGATTTGGGAATGCCAGATTTTGGATTACTTAAAAGATACAGATTAAGCTAGAGCCTCGAAAAGACGTGCACCCACTTTGTGAAAGATCATGTACTGTATATAATCATGGAGAACCATGATCTTTCATCCTTCATGTCATTTAAAGATCCTTTTGTTCTTCATTAACCATGCTCAGGACGGTATGGACAGAGTCAGAGACTTTATGTCCCTCTGGCAGTAACAGAGAAGGAATAGGAAAAAGTTTAGAAATGAAACAGCAGCACTCAGACGAGAAGTTTTTATCAAGCAATTAATAAGGACAATTGTTTTACAAAGTGGTGATAGCACTTGTAATGAACATGTGATGGGCCTGGAGTTTATGCTCTGAAACCTGATGTTCCAAAGCCAAAATAGAAATAGAAAGGACCACACCATACCGTATTTACTTGAATATAAGATGACCCTGATTATAAGACAACACCCCCATAATTAGATTCTATATATGGAAAATGTATAAGTTTGATACAATTTTTCAGGTATAGAATCTAATTATTGGAAGTTTGTCTTGAATTTGTCCCTCTCCCACTGCTACAGCAGGAAAAATAAATCTGGGGAAGGGTCAGGCAGCCCCTTTGCCCCCCAGCTTCTTACCCCTGCAGCCCCTTCCCCTTCCCCTTACTGTCAGACCCTGCTCTCTCTGAGCACATGTAAGTGAGGGACAAATTATAAAAACCTAACCTTGAAATAAACACAGTTGTAGTAATTTGCACATAGTTCCCATAGATTTAGTTCACCCAGAATTAATGCATTTTACATCTTCTGAATCTGCTGCAAGTTTTAACACAGATACTCCAAAAACACTTTTTAACTAGTGCTTTGGCACCTACTTACAAATAGCACAAACTATTTTTTTTAATTTTATCTTTTTCAAGGCCAAATCAGTTTCAATTTCAACTGAGCAAATCCCAGTAGTCAAATTCCAAAATTTGACTAAGCAGAACTCCATTGTAAAGTCTGTGTGGCTCTACCACTGGGCAAGTATCCTCCCTCCCAGACCCACTCGTCTGGAGCTTCAGATACTCCCCAAATCCAGGCAGACATCCAATGTGAAAAAACTCCAGGCCTGGAAACCTTGAGGTTCAGATGCACCCTGTCTCCCTTCATCTTAACCAAAAAGCCGCACAGGATATTAGTCCAAAGCCCAAAGGCTCATGTTTTACTATATAGGTCATTGATCTAGGTCCCAGCACAGTCAACAGTTTTTTAAGCCATGGTAACCCCACAACTCAGCATTGCCCAATATGTGTGTACTCCAGATACCTCTAACAAGCCCCCATTCATGACTGGAACCATGTGTTCTTGTCATAAGTCCTGGGATCCTCCAAGAATGTATATGCATATGAACCAGAGGGCAACCTGGTCTGGCTTCACCTCATGGAGAGCGGGGCCACACTAATTATATGCAACAGGCTGAGACAGAGGTCAACATAGGGATTTGGGATAAACTGTTTGGGGCCATTTGGTGATGTTGCTGGGCATTCAAGGCTGGTGAAGAAACAGAAATCATTAAAAATGGAGAAAAAGGTGCAGCTTAGCTGAAGGGATGAAGAGGAAGTTGAAATGTATGCAATATGGTCACTCACCATGACTTTTAAAAGATTAGGTGCTAAGGGGGACTGAACACTTCCATACATATTTTAATTCAGATGGGCTGCACTGACTTGTCTTTGTAGTGTCAGAGTGTAAGGAGGAAAACCCGAAGCTCAAAACAATGGCAGAGCTAGCATGAGGTGGAAAAAGAATTAAAGAGCAAGAACTGAAGAGCAGAAATGAAGATCTGGAGACAGAAGAAGAGTGGACAGCAACAACGAGTGATGACACCAGAAGGAAGATGGGGCAGAGGAAAACAGGAGACAGGTATGTCAGGTGAGAAGCAGAGGGCAGTGGGAGCACAATGGCAGGCCAGCCCGCTGGCAGTGGCATGGCAGGAAAACATGGAAGAGGTACTGCAAGAAGCTAGAGAGGAGCAGAGGCTGCAGATAAAGGCAACTAGATATGATTTCCTGGAGGAGGTACTGTTTGATATTTTTGGAGGTGCGGGTGGAGAACCTCATCAGCCTGATTACTTTCTCAAACCAAAGGACTTGGTAATGGATTTACTGGGATAGAGAAGGGAATGAGAACTTTTGGAAGAAATATGCAGAGAAATGTGGGAGGGAGAAATTAAGAAGGATAAAGTTCATAACAGGAGAAAAGTCAAGAGAAGGATTTACTTGAGGCAGAAAACAGAAAGAGATGGTTGGAAAAGTACATCCAAGGGGTAATGTTGATAGAGAAAGTAAGAGACAAGTATGGTATCTGGACAGGGTCTTGGAGGGCATGAGTAGTGTTACAAGCAGTCAAGTGGAGCCCGGGTAGGGTGCTGCATACCTCCCATCAGTGATTCAAATCAGGGCACACTGGGTTTTATAGTATACCGCAGGCACCCAAAATGGTGCAGCAAAGGCAGAAAGGTGGCGCACCTGTGTGCACACTGTCCATTCACGGTACACTACAGATGTGAAGGGATGGGTCATAGAGCAGCAGAGTGTCAGGAGTCCCTAAAATGCACTGTTTGTAAGGGAGGGTGAAACAGGAGGAAACTGAAATTTCTGTGACTAAGGCAGTGCAGGAGGACACGGGAAATGGAATGGAAAGGAAAATGGGAACCACAAACAGCTCAGACATGGAGGTAGGGGTAGGGAAGAAAGAAGACACCCTACAGACAACAGGAATGGAGATGGAGCAAGCAAAAGAACCAGACAGGCTGGAAAAAGAAAGAAAAAGTAGGGGCTGAAAGCCAGGAAGAAGAAACCTGGTAAAAAAGGAAGAAAGTCAGAGAAAGAGCCAGAAAGCAGATTCTTGCCACTAACACCTCTAGGCTCCAGCCCAGAGTAGAGACCATAAGGCAGGAAGCAGTGAAGAGGCAGGAATATGCAAGCCTTCCTAAATGCAAAAGCAATCTGTAAGCTTGCAAAGCCTACAGGAATGCAAGTGAGAGAGTGGGGGAAGTCAACCACCCCAAGCAGTAGCACAGATAAGCCTTAACAAGACAGACACACTCATTTTAAAACAAGCATAAATGGCATTGACAATAGTTTCACTTAATGGCAGGAGTTATCTTAACAAGGAAATGATGGGAACAGGTTGAACCAGTGTTGAATCAAGTAAGGGTAGACAATCTGCTTACAAGAACCTAGTATACCAGAGGAGAAGGATTATAAACACTTTAAGAAAAGGTGGAGATGGGGACCATCTTGGTGGTCAGCAACAAATGAGAACAAAGCAGCAGGGATAGCAATACTATTCAAGAGCCCAGAGCTGAGAGCAAAGCAGGTAGAAGTCATCAGTGGCAGACTGCAACAAATGATATTATCAGCCAGGGGAACAGAATTAGACATTTTCAACACACACACACCACCAGAGAGGGAGGGAAGGAATGCACTACTTGGAAAGCTAGCAGTTTATGTGGTTGGAGGGAGATTACACATATAGCAGGAGATTTCAACTGTATAATCAAAATGGGTGACAGAACAGGGGAAGGAGGAAACTGCTTTAGACAACTCACCCAGACAGTTAACAAATATAATAAAAGAAGAGTCACAAAGGAATGTGTGGGCAGAGGAAAAAGAATTCACTAGAACTGACCCCAGTGGAAGGAAACAATCAAGAACTGACTTTGTGTCTGTATCAAAAGATATAGGGATAAGGAAAAAAGAAACCATACATGTGATTTTTAGTGATCACTTGATGCTGAAGGCAGAAATGAGTTTTGGTAAGAGCCCCATGAGAGGGAAAGGACCACAGAAGTTAAATGTGCGGCTGTTACAAGATGAAGAGATATATCAAGCATAGACAAGACTGTGAGGGGTGGCAAAAACTGGAAAAATATTTTAGGAGTACTAGAGAATGGTAGATGATGATGAAGAGGATGGGAGAATTCGTCAGGAAGGAAGGCCGAGGATGCATGGGGAAAAGAATGAAAGAGCTAAGAGAACTGCAAAGGAAGATGCAGGAGCTAGTAAAGGAAACCGTAGAATGAAGACAGGTATAAGAACAGCTACAAAAAAACAAAGCAAGAGTTAGAAAGGTGGTTTAAAAAAAAGACAAGAGAGATGTTTTTAGCAAAAGCACCCTGGGTGGGAGAAAACAAAAAATGGTCCCGAGACTTTTCGGCTAGAGCCAAGATGGCAAAAGGAGAATTAAAAGCACTACAGAAAAGCAGTAGTACCTAGGTGGAAAAATGGGGAGGTAATAGAGGCAACAAGATTTTACGAAGAGCTATAGGAGACAGACTGAAAGAAGATGAAGGATTTGCTGGAAGAGACTGAAGAGAAAGCAGGGGAGAAGGAAACAAAGAAGATGGAAGAAACGATAAAGGAAGTGGAGGAGTTTAAAAAGAGGGAAATCACCAGAAGCAGACAGGCTGCCTATGGAATTTCACGAGAAGTTTTGGGCATGGATAGGGAGGGATACAGTGGAGATTTTTGAGGAAACGGCGGGAACAGGAGAGGCAGAGAAAGATTTTACAAGAAGTATTGTGTCTTTACTCTTCAAGAAAGGGGAGAAGGAACTCCTGAAAAACTAGAGATCAATTACACTCCTTAATATGGACTATAAGTTAATGGCCAAGACGTTGGCTTTGAGGATGAGGAAAAACCTCAAGAAGATAATACATGAAGACCAAGTATGAACAGTAACAGGTAGAAGGATATCCAAAGTGATCAGACATGCACTGTCCCCCACACGAGAGGAAAACAAACAGTTATAGCCAACCGTAATTTAGAAGAAGCATACGACAGTAGATCATGATTACATATTTGAAGTGCTAGGAAAAGTGGGGTTCCCAGTGAAATGTATATGTTGGATAGGTTATTGTATAGAAAAGTGGAGAGTCAAGTCCAAATTAATGGGCACCTAAGCGGGGCTTCTAAAATCCATACAGGGGTGACACAAGGGTGCCCCTGTAGCCACTACTATTTGTGTGGCATGGAACTGTTAGCACAAAGAACAAGAAAGGACAAGGTCATAAGCAGAGAACACATACCTGGAGGGGGGGGGAGGTAAAATGCATCCTATACATGGATGATAAAAAAAGGAATAATTAGAGATAAACTTTTGATAAAAAGCATGCTAAAGCATACATCAGTATGGCGAAGCAACAAGGGCTAAACTAAATAGGTTGAAAAGTACCATAATGGGAGTGGGGAACTGGAGGGACCTGAAGAAATTTGGCCTTCAAATGAGAGAGAGGGAAATCAGAGTGCTAGGGATCCCAATGAAAGCAGAAGGGAAAGGTAATACAGCATGGGAAAAGGTGATGGCAAGGATACAGCAAATACTTTGATTATGGTCTGAAAGGACATCGTCCTTTGCCAGAATAGTAGCGGTGGTTAAGGCTGTGCTACTGCCGATCATTCTATACACAAGAATTGTAATCCCACCAACATGGCAGCAGACAGCAAAAATACATAGGGAAATATGTGTGTTCTTCTAGAATGCCAAAAAAGAAAGGTTGCCTAAAGCTGAACTATACAAAGCAAGAGAGATGAGGGTTTGGGGGCTGCTGGATTTGGGAATGTTTGTCTATGCAAAATATGTAAGCGCAATACGCAAGGCAGTAATGGAAGAAGAGGGGAAAGCAGTGCATATCACCTGATTTCACGCAGCTGCAATTTTGAGAACATGGGGAATATATCAGACCTCTTTGAAGAGTCCATGGGCACGGCAACCACCGATTTATTACATCAGGATGGAAGGATTCATGCAAAGGTATAAAACAGGGAAGGTAAGGATGGAGGTCCTGAAGGATCATAAGAAATTGATGAAAGTGGTAAGGCAGACAGGATGGCGGTTGTGGAAAACTTCGCAGAAGAACAAGTGAAGAAGGTGTGGAGATTGTTGGCAGGTAAACAATTAAAAGGGGACCATGCTGACCTAGCATGGATGATTGCAAATAATATCTTGCCATTGAGAGACGTGCAACACAGATGGGGCTTGATGAGCTCATCTAGGTGCCCAAAGGAGAGGTGTGGGGAAGAAGAAACAGTGGAAAGTGTTTTGGGAGTCTACGCATGCAATGGGGGTGTGGAAAGCAGCCTGCCACTTCCTGTGTGTCACCAAAATAAACCTGTTGTTAAATGCTGGAGATGATGCTATATGGACTCATACCAAAGGGACTGGAGGAAATGTTACAGACTTTATTAGCATATGTTAAAACTAGTTTATAGAAAGTAATTCTGGGTGTGTAAGGGGTTAGCTTTCACTGAAAGAGAGTGCCTGAAGCTTGGGCTCCATGAACTGAAATACTACATCAACTGGGACAAGGACAAGATTGGAGAGGAAGAGGCAGAGAAGTGGAGGAGAAAAGACTGGACACACTTGTTTCACTAAATCAACAAAAAAGACTGATGGGAGGGGTAGAGAGTTTCAGGTAGTTAGCAAGGTAAGTTTTTCGTGGGATTCTATATGAAGAAAAAGATTTCTGTAAGGGTTTATTTTTTGTGGGAAGTTGATGTCTGTTGTTTAAGGGTTTAATATATGTAGTTGTATGTTTTTTATATGTATTTGTTTCTGTGATATGAAGTTTTGGTAAAACAAGAACACTCAATATGTGTAGCTTTGTAAGTGTAGGATAAGTGTATTTTTAATAAAATTTGTAAAAAAAGGCTCCCACCAGCACTGTTGTCCAATATAGGCCATGTGTTTTATAGTCCTGTTCAATGTTGGCTGCATTAAAACAACATCAGTCATTTTACATTACTGAGCACATGCTGTTTTAGCAGCAGTTTAAAGATAGTATTTTATGTGGTTTCCTTTTATGCAATTTTAAGACAAGGCACTAAACTCATCTTCTTTTTGAGTAAATATGGTATACAGAACACAAACCACAGAGCTGGGGAGAGGGGGGGAAAGAAGACAGACTGGATATCATTTAAGGAGAATAAAAAAAAATGGAGACCCATAAGAAAACCAGTCCTGAGCTAATGTAATGGCAGCTTAGTTTTAAATGTAAGAAATATCACTGGAAAGCAATCAAGGAAGTGAAATACATACTGAAAGGGAAAATAACAGAAAAATCTCAAGTGATGGATGCAGTCTTTCAGGGAATTAGCACTGAGAAATAACAACTAGTATTCAAAGGATAAGTTATAAAATTATGGTGTCAAACTCTAATACAGGAGAAAATACAGGAGGAAAAAGACCTGTTCAACCCTAGATGATTTCTCTAACCAGAAGGCTATTAAGTAAAATGTGAGCACCATCTCCTTCTCCCACGTTAATGTGAAAGTGACTGTGGCTGCTGCATCTTGTACTGAACTCAATGGTGTAAATGAGTTAAATGTGCCCTGGGCACATCTACTGATCTGGGTTCTCCAGGGACTCAGACACAGTTTAGCTATTGCTCTGCCTCTGATCTAGATTCACAGTGGAGCTTAGGCAGGAGCTAGGCACCTCGATGTTCAGAGTGGGATGCTTCTATGTATGTACAGAAGCCTAAAATTTAGACACCTAGATACCTTTGCAGTCCAAAACATAGATGCCTAATGAATTTTGTAGCAGCTGAAGCTGAAGGATTCTGCATTACTTTTTACAACTTCAGTGGAGTTTCTGCAATAGTTTAGTAATCAGATCAGCCTGAATAAGTGACTTGGAAACCTACATTACTTAGTTAGAGGGACTTGTCCAGGTTCAAACTGAGCTAGTGAGGCAGAAAGTTGAACCAAGGTCTCCTAAATCTCAGGCTATAACTTATCCAAAGAACAAGGGAATTCATCTCTGTGCTGGAGCTTCCCCATCTACCCAACAGGGGAAATATAATAAAATGCCTAGAATCTTGTCTGAAGTGCCAAGTGCACAGTATTATCCTCACCATATGGCTCCTGAGGAAAGGAGATGGAAGCAAATCTTACCTAAACATCTTCCCAGGATACCAAGGAATAATGTCATATTTTACATTTGTCTGAGTCTCCTGATGAAGGCAAACTATATCGAAAATAAGG